CACAGGTGTGCACACAGGTGCTCACGGACACGTGCTCACGGACACACACTGTCTTGATCGGCTGTTGCTTCTGGGCATGTGTTGTAATGCTGTTTGTGTGTGCTGTTCAACAACATTTAACGTTTGGTGGTCGTTGTGATTAGTACAGATGTTGTATGTTGTCTTTCTCTTTTCAGCAGACATGGAAGCAGATTATCTGTTTAGTTTTTTTCTTTTCTCTCCTCTCTCTCTTTCCCCCTTCTTCTCCTTTGTTTCCCCCCTTCTCTCTCCCTCGCCTTCTCTTGAGGAAGTAAAAAAAAATAAAAATAAAAAATAATAATAATTTAAAAATAATAATAAATAAATAAAACAAAAATAAATAAATAAATACAAATAAAGTTGTCCTCCACAGAGGGGGGGTGGTGGAGGGAGTAAAAAAAAAAAAAAATAGAGGCTGTCTACATCTTCATATTTTTTGCTCTGTTCTGTTGCCTTACACAATTCGGATTAGCCATAGAGTTTGATCTCTCTAAAACAGGATGGAAGTTTCAAAGGTGGTATCTTTTAGCTGTGGATCTCCACCTGATAACAGATGCTGGAGATTTTCTCCACAACGTATCTTTTCAAACAAGCCCTCTCCTAATAACCCAGCAATTCTTTCACTTTCACATTTTGTTGAACATTGAGTGCCTGCCATGGGAAATTTAGCACAGGACAAACCTGCAAGACCAGCTCTTTCATACCTGAGAGTTCACAGATTAATACAGCTGACGATAATATGAATTTACAAAGTCCAAATCAGGTTACACTGATATCAGAACTGAACTCAGCAGAATGATGGTGGAAGAAGGAAAGAAATGGCAAATCAGCCCCTGATATGATGTCCCCCTAGATGGGAAAGCTTTCTCCCTTATTAGTGGTGTTTTTTATTAAAACCCCCATGTTAGAAAAAAGACCTATGTGTGTCACATGGGTCTTCATTTTGTATTATAAAGTTGTTGCACTTGCCTTTGCTATTACAATTAAAACATGCTCCTAATTCCATCATTTCCATAATCAAGAAGTTTAAAAGAGTAATGGGTTTCAATAGAGATTAAATTATGGCTTTGGGGGAAAAAATACACAAGACCCCCATTACACAGTGGTGATCACAGTGGAGAGGACAGCAGGAATGCTGGGAGTAGAGATTACAGCAGGGAATTAGTGATTTACCTCTGAATAAGTTATCAAGCTGCCTCACTTGAACTCCAACACAAATGTACTGTAGATGATAGCTTATAAAAGTGAAAAGGGAGTCATGCTAGATCACTAAGCACTCTGTTTTAGGTGAATTCCACCAAGGTTTTATTTTTGGTGGATGTCACACATGGTAAGATACATTTGTCTAGCTGTGTAAATGTGTAGTTTCACCTGTGGTTGGCCTCTGTGGTTTGCAGCAGGTGGTGAGGCGAGGGTGGTGTCCGTCCCCGAGGAGCCCCTGGTCCGAGTGGAAGGCCAGCCACTGTCACTGCGCTGCAATGTGTCTGAGTATGAGGGCCCCTTGGAGCAGGTGTTTGAATGGCAGGTGTTCCAAGAGGGCAAGTCCTTCCAGCTCATCTCCTTCATGGAGTCCAGTTACACAGATGCCCGCTTTGCCAAGCGTGTGGCTGATGGCGATATCTCCTTGCTGAGGCTGGCTGACAGTGCAGCGGAATTGAGGATCAGGGTGCTCAGGGTCTCAGATAGCGGAATTTACACCTGCAGCACTCCAAGCACCGACATGTCTGTTAGCGGCAACTACCAGGCCAGCGTGCCGCTGGATGGTGAGTGTAAAGTAACAAGACCCAGTGAAATCCAACTACCAGCTAACACTGACTGCTGTCCCAGACAGACCAAACTAATAACTGCTTTGCACTAACCACTGTTGCAAGTAGATAGCACTGTTCTGTTCTGACCCCATTGACAATTCTTTAACATAGACCACACTAATTGTTACTCCACACTGACCACTGTTCCATATAGACCGCACTGTTCTGTACTGACCACACTGACCATTGTGTACTATAAAGACCACACTAATTGTTACTCCACAGTTCATGCTGACCGCTGTCCCATATAGACCGCATTGTTCTGTACTGACCACATTGATCATTCTTTAGCATAGACCACACTAATTGTTACTCCACACTGACTGCTGCTCCATATAGACCGCACTGTTCTGTACTGACCACACCAACCATTCTGTACTATGAAGACCACACTAATCGTTACTCCACAGTTCATGCTGACTGCTGTTCCATATAGACCACACTGTTCTGTACTGACCACACTGACCACTGTACCATATAAACCACAATGATCAATATCCCATACTGTGCTCTATTCCATATAGACCATGCTGTTCTGTAATGACCACACTGACTTCTGTACCATATAGACCACACTAAGCACTCCTCCACTCTGACCCCTGTTCTATATAGACCGCACTATACTGACCACTGTACCATATAGACCACCACAATCATTATTCCACACTGTCCTCTGTTCCATATAGACCACACTTGTACTGACCACTGTACTATACATAGAAACACACAGTAATAATCACTCCACACTAACCACTGTTCCGTGTTAACCGCACTGTTACATATTGACCACATCATTCCATGCTGACTACACTGAACATTGCGCTACACTGATCGGGGAATTACAGTAAACTAACTTTGGTTACTTTCAGTGTGAGATTTCACTTGAGGCTAAATTTACCTGCTCCCTCTTGCAGTGATTAAGGACAGCCTCCAGGTGCTGTCCATGGCTCCTCCAACTGAGATTCCAGAGGGAAATCCACTGGATATTCACTGCATTGCCACAAGGGACTTGAAGCAGAACACTTATCTTTCTGTGACCTGGTCTGTCAGGAGGGGCACAGCCCCCCCAGAAGACATTGTGACCCTTGGACCTGATGGGGATCACAGGGTGGGTTCCAGCTACATCCAGCGCCATGCGGACATGGGGCTTCTTCCACAGTCAATGAAGGGCAACATCTTCAGCCTGGTGCTGACTGAGACACGACCCAGCGACGAGGGGCAGTACACTTGCACAGCGAGGGAGTGGGTCCCTGAGGGGGGAGCACTTTGGCAGCCCATCCTGGAGAAGAGTGCAGAGCTTGGCCTACTGAAGGTCATGCCTATTGGTGCGTCCATCATAGCAGGGAGCAAAGTACTAGATTTGTTGACATCTTCTTAAATTTATTTGCATCTTTAAAATAGATTTGTAAAGTTTGTTATGCAGTGCCCTGCATAGTTGGTACTCATTGGATTTAAGCAGCAGGCTGCCAGGATTATTGTGCAGCTTATTGCTTTGTTTGGGATCATTGCACTGTACAGGAAAGGAAAGGTCAAACTGCCAATTCTAATGAACATAAGAACATAAGAAATATACAAACGAGAGGAGGCCATTCGGCCCATCGAGCTCGCTTGGGGAGAACTTAACTAATAGCTCAGAGTTGTTAAAATCTTATCTAGCTCTGAT